CTATAGCGTGACGCTGTTTATGGGATGACCATATATGGTAACAATACTACCAGGGTGAATCAGCAGCTCGCCTGCCGGCTTCCTGTGCGAGGAAACACGTGGTGAGCGAGTTACAAAACGCCGAGCTGCTCAATTCATTCCGGAAAGAGATGGGCAGGGGGTGCGATACGACTTAAAGGGGAGCCCCCCCCCCCCTCGCAGAACCACGGAGGCCACCCATCCTGCAATGAAGGAGTGCTGGGGCATGCAGCAGTTCACTACATAGTTACAGTGTGTCTCCGGGTGAAAGACTTTGTTTCAGTTTTGGATAGAGTGAGTTAGACCCTCGGCCAGGTTTTTTATTGATGTCTGTGTCCCCCATTGGGGAGATTCGCCCTCTTTATGTGTGCCGGTGACCCCCTGTCGCTGAGGGGGAAAGCCAACATTCGTGGAGTTGTCCCCGGGACAGGCAACGAGGGGAAACCTTCCAATGGGAACTGCCCTTCTTTTCACTCACTTTGTGAGATTCCTTTGTGACTTCCTGTTGTTTGCTCGGGGACAGGAAGTGAAGGAAAATCCCCCCATTAGGGTACACAGCAAAAATAAAAAAGTATGGCGGATTTTAACCCTTACATACACGTTAAAGAGGAAGTTGCTGCTAATTGCCAGGTAGTGGCTGAGTGTTGTCACCCTGCAGCAGGAAGTGCTGTTCCTGGCAGGATCTCCGGATAAGGAAGTGCTGCGTGTTACACGGAGAGGTGATGGAGATCTGACGTCGGGTCTGAGAACACAGGAACAGCACGTCGTTCTCCTCCATTGCAGCCGGAAACGTTGTCGCGGTGACCGCGGAGTCACCGGATCGCTCGGCCGTGGAGAGGAGATAACGAAATATTGTTACCCCAAAATAACTTTAATCTGGAGGAAGCGGCCGCTGTTTGCGGTGTCCCCGTCTCTGACGGCAGCCGCGCCAACACACCGCCCCGGGATCATACAAAGGGTGAGAGCGCCATGGGACGAGTCCAGGAGTTTTGCATTGTGTGTGAGAAGAGTGACGAAGCCGACGCATTTCGGGGGGGGGCTCTAAACTCCCCCGGAAATGAGCATAGAGATGATGGCTGCCTGACCGGTGACCCAAAACTGTCCCGATCCCTATGTTTCTACTTGAAGAAATGATTGTCCAGCTTTTTCCTCTCTGCCGGCAGTGAGAGCCCTGAGGAAGGGAAGTTCAAAGCCCCCGAAAACGCGTTGTAAAGACTAGTACCGTGGCTCTCACATCCTTTCTGCATTCTAAGACTATTCTGAGGTCCATTTGGGGTCACCCTGGTTGAAAGAGAGCTGCCACCCAAATTTCTCATACGGTGTCAGGGCAGTGGGCACTGGTCTAGGCATAGTCCGCCATTGTTAGGGTTGCCACCTTTTCTTCAAGCGAACACCGAGCACTCTAGCGCTGCGCGTGGCAATTTTTTTTTTTTTTCTGTTGAGAATATGAGGAGAGGCAGCCAGGGGGAGGGAGTAATGAGACCAGCTATAGAGGACTACAACTCCCAGCAATACATTACACAGCAATACAAAATAATATGAAGCTGCATACTCTGTGCTGTTCTGGGTTGGTGACCAGATGTCTTTAGGACCCCACTTGGAGCTCCTCCCACCGGACCAGCGCTGACTCGCCGCTGCTCTC